ACTTTTAGAAGATTGTTGCTATCCCCCTCCAAAGAAACCCTGTGATTAGCAGTCACCCCCAACGCTCAGTCGAGCACTGATCCACTTTTTGTGTCTATAGATGTGCCTATTCTGGACGTTTCATGGGATGCTATCAAATGTAAAATCATAAATGTAATCATACAATATGTTGTCTTTTGTGACTCACTTAGCATAATGTTTTAAGAACTATTCATGCTATAGCATGAACTGGTACTTTATTCAGTATTTCATTGCATAGATATCCCATATTATGTTTATCTACACATCAGTTCATGGACATTGAATTTTTTCCACTTTTTGGCTGTTATGATTAATATTGCTAATGAACATTCAGGTACAAGTTTTAGTATGGACATATGTCTTCATTTCGTTCGGGTAAATACTGTTGGGAAGGAAAATCTTTTTCTCTATTTTCTTAGGTTCAGTCATTGGAGGCTTACAAATTAAATTGACAGGTGACAGATTAGCAAGAGAACAGATAGATTTTTTTTTCAGAATTCTTTGTTTATTTTTATTTATTCATTCAGTTATTTTAATTTGTCCAGAGAGAGAGAGAGAGAGAAAGTGAGAAAGCAAGCCAACCACCAGGTCTGGGTCTCAGAACATGATCAGCCATGTGGGAATGTCCAATGCCTTAACCACCACACCACCTGCTGGCCCTGAGTAAAAACAGATCTTAATCAAGTAAATTCAGGAATTCACAAAGACTCAAGGGTCTTTTAGAAACAGACTTATATACCATTCTAATAGGTAAATGAGAGTGGGAGAGGGCCCTTAGGAAAATGGAGGGGAGATAGAATAGTTTTTGTAACAATGTCTGTTTAGGTATGACGTGAAGAATTCTTATCTCTTAAGGTAATAGTTAATCTTCCCTGTTGTTCCCAAGGAGGGGATTTATGATAATTGCATTCTTTTGAGAGGCTCTGCTTTTAGGCAGATAAGAGATTTCAGGAACCCAAGTGCCTCCTGCTCAAAATCACTTTTATGCCATCATGGCTTTTTCTGGAACCTCTTAAAATACCTACAAGTGGAATTGCTGGATAATATGATAACTATGTTGAATGTTTTGAAAAATTCCAAGTGTTTTCAAAGCAACTACACCATTTTACATGCTTGTCAGCAATGTGTGAGAGGTTCCAGTTTCTCTACATCCTCACCAACACTTGTTACTGTGCTTTTATTATAGCCATCCTAGTGTGTGTAAAGAGGTATAATTGGGTAGGGGCTTTTTAACTGTAGTAAACTAAGAAAATTTACCATCGTAACTGGATTCAAGCATATAGTTCAGTAATGTTAACACACATTTTTCTGCAGTGGACTTCCAGAACTTTTTATCTTGCAAGCTAAAACTCAATACCTATTAAACAACTGTGAAGTTCTCCCTCCTCCACAAATCACTACCAGTCACCATTTTATTGTAAAGTTATGATTTAAGCATACACTTCCCAAGTGGTTAATGATATTAAGTATCTTTTCAGGTGTTTGTTAGCCATTTGTTTATATATTCATATATTTTACTCATTTTAAAATTAAGTTATTGGGACCAGCAGTTAGCGTAATGGCTATGTCGCTGGACTCCCATGTAGTCGACTGCAGTTCAAGTCCCAGATCCAGTGGCTTAAACTCACACCGGGGGCGTGTGCGTGTGTGTCCAAGACCCTGAGAGGAGAATGGAGGAGAAGGGATTGCGGTGTGGCCATCCCACCTGGGGGGTGATTTCTCACTTTCTATTTCTCTGTCTCTCTCTGTCTTTCTGGTGAGCACACATGCCCTATAGCAAAAACCTCTCCAAAAAAGAAAAAAAAATTAAATTATTCAACTTTTTTTCCCCCTGTAATTGCCAGTGGGCATATGCACTCACCAGAGAGAGAGACAGACAGAAAAAGGGAGAAAGCACTCCCTAAGGCAGTATGCTTATGCAGTTTCTTCTTCTCCATTTCTTCATCCTGTTGTAATGTCAGGCATGCATACACACATGCCTGGTGCATTTTTCAAGCTACTGGGGCTGGGATTCAAACCATAGTTTGCATCTGAGATCCAGCTCCTTTAACCATTAAGGTAAGGGGCCAATCTAGGTTACTAAACTTTTTATTGTTGAGTTATGAAAGATTTTATGTATTCTAGATACAAATCCCTTTTAGATATATGATTAGCAAATATCTCATACTGTTCCATGAGTTATCTTTTTATTTTCTTTCTTTTCTTTTCTTTTTTCCTTTTTTCTTTTTTTGTGGAGAGGTTTTCGCTATAGGGCGCGTGCGCTTGCCATTCAGACAGACAGAGAGACATAGAGACAGAAAGCGAGAAATCACCCCCGAGGGGGGATGGCCACGCCGCAATCCCTTCTCCTCCATTCTCCTCCCGGGATCTTGGGCACACACTCACACGCACCTGGCGTGAGTTTTAAGCCACCGGGTCCGGGACGTGAACCGCAGTCGACTACGTGGGAGTCCAGCGACATAGCCATTACGCTAACTTCTGGTTCCCTCTTTTTATTTTCTTGATAGTGTCCTTTGAAGCAGAAACGTTTAATTTTAACTAAGTCCAACTTATTGTTTGTTTGATTGTTTCTTTTTGTTTTGGAGAGGTTTTTTCACTATAGGGCGCGTGCGCTCGCCAGACAGACAGAGAGAGACATAAAGATAGAAAGCGAGAAATCACTCCCCAGGGGGGATGGTCACGCCGCAATCCCTTCTCCTTCATTCTCCTCTCGGGATCTTGGGCACGCACGCACACGCGCCCTGCGTGAGTTTTAAGCCACCGGGTCCAGGACGTGAACCGCGGTTGTCTATGTGGCAGTCCAGCGACATAGCCATTACGCTAACTGCTGGTTCCCTTGTTTCTTGTTCCTTGTACTTAGGTGTCATATCTAAGTAGTTTTGCCAGCCTCAAGGGCATGAATGTTTATTCCTGTATCTTTTTTTTTAAGAGGTTTTTTTTTTTTTTTTTTTTTTTTTTTTTTTGCTATAGGACGTGTGCACTTTCTAGAGAGACAGAAAGAAATCACCCCCCAGGGGGATGGCCACACCACAATCCCTTCTATTCTTTCCAAATTTTAGGCACACATAGACACAAGCCCACCCTGAGTTTTAAGCTCCTGGATCTAGGACTCAAACAGTGGTTAACTACATGGGAGTCCAGCAATGGAACCATTACACCATCTGCTGGTCATGTATTTTCATTAAAGGGTTTTTATGTATAGTTTTAGCTGTTACATTTAGGCTGATGAAAAACTTTGAGTTGATTTTTGTATATGATATGAGGAAGGAGATTCAGCTTCATTCCCTTACATGTAGTTATCTAGTTGTCCCAGTATCATTTGTTGAAAAGACTACTGTTTCTTCATTGAACTACCTCAGCACTCTTGTTGAACAATTGACTGCAAATTTGATTATTTCTGGACTCAAAATTCCATCCCATTGATCTGTATTTCTATGTTCGTGTTAGCAATATACTCTCTTATTTATAGGAGCTTTGAAGTAAATTTTGAAATTGGTAAGCAAAATTCCTCCATCTTTTCTCTTTTTCAAAATTGTATTGGTTATTCTGGGTCCCTGGAATTTTAGTATGAATTTTAGGATTAGTTTGTTTATTTAGGGGAGAGGGAGAAGCCATCTAGGATTTTGATAGTGTTTGCACTGAATCTTTAGATTAATTTGGGGAATACTGCCATTTAGTAATATTAAACCTTTTAATCAATGAATGTGAGATATCGTCTTTATTTATTTAGGTCTTTTTAAGTTTCTTTCAATAATGTTTGATAGTTTTCAGAGTATAAATTTTTGTACTTGTTAAGTTTATTTCAAAGTGTCCTACTCTTTTTTGGTACTGTTGTAAATGGAATTATTTCCTTAATTTTATTTTCAAATTGTTGATTGCTGATACATAGAAATACAATCGACTTTCATATGTTGATATTATGCCCTGAAAATTTGCTGAACATATTTATTAGTTCTAATAATTCTTTAGTGGATTAGATGTTTCTATTAATATACACATAATCATGTCTTAAGCAAGTAGAGGTAATTTTACTTCTTCCTTTCCAATCTGGATGCTTTGTTTTCCTTGCCTTATTTTCCTGGTTTGAATTTCTACTACAATTTCGACTTATCTTGTGCCTGATCTTATAGGGCTTGGCTTTTTAAGAACTAGCCTTGGAAATCGCATAGCATCATTTCCGTCATCCCCTATTGGTCAAAGCAACACAAATCCATAAAATTTAAAAGAAAGTGGCATAGACTCCACCTCTTGAATGAAGGCATGCCAAAGAATTTTTAACCATCACTACTTGGCTTCCTAAACACCAAATGAAGACTGTATTTTAAGGAGGAGGGAGTCATCTGTGCCAAATGCCACTTGTTCCATTATGTGAGAGCTGGGAATTGACCGGCTCTTAGCAATGCAGAAGCTGTCTTTGGCCTGGACGAGATAGTTGTTGGTGTGTATTTTGAAAACTCATTTGGAATAGAGAGAGTATGAGAGAAAAGGAATTGGGAATAGCAAATAGAAAACAACTCTGTTGAGAATTTTGTTTGAAAGAGGAGCAGGGAAATGATGTGGTAACTGTAAGGGAATTTGACTTTACCAGTGTTTAATCTTTTTTTTTTTTTGGTTTTGTCAAATGTTTTATTGAGTGTAGACATCTGGAGTAGTGTAAAACATGCATTATCTGTAGATTCAAAAAGGAGCAAGCCACATTGTCCTCACTGTCAAATGTGTCAGGCTTGGCATACATGATGGAGATTAATGAAGTGTCATGAGAGTAATATGGTTCCTGAAAAGCTTCTACAATTTGGAGTAGGGTCTTAATCACGTGAAAAGCAAAGCTGTTCACATTTAATGAACTTGCACTTCATCCGAGGTACATAGTATTTTAATTTAAAACAAACAAAAATAATTTGTTTGTAGAAGATTCTCATCCCCTCAACTTTATTTGTTCCTTCAGTTTTCAGAAATTTGAATTAAAAAAAAAAGCCTTTTGGAGGTGTACATTTATCTGAGCAACAACTAAAATCTATTTCTTCTTCGGTTGTTGAGGTGTATTAAATTTGAAGAAGATAATATCTCCATCTTCAACAATATAATTTCTGCCTTGTTGTCTGTATTTTCCAGCAGCCTGCAAATAGGAAACAGAGAAGAAATGGGTTATTTTACAACTGAAAACAAAGGGTAAATAGTTGGAGCAGATGCAAAAAGTACTACACTGCTTGGGCCGTACTTAAAAAGAAAACAAGAAAATATAGGAAGGTATACAAGTTCAAAACTAGACTTGGAGTGAAGCAAAATATTCCTGATTTGGGTAGAACTATATTTTCCATATATACATAATCATAATGTATTCTCCACTAAATTGTTGGCACATAAATGTAATTATACCAATATCATTAAGTTTCATTACACACTGTTTATGGTACATTTCTGATGTGTCTGCAAACATCTACCAAGTCACTGTAACAAAACAGATCAAACCAGACAGGAAAAAAAATGACTAGATAACTGGTAAAAAGCTGCTTTATTTGTTTAAAGAAATTCTTTGGTGACACTGGTGATGCCAAGAAGACAGCTTGTCGTAAGGAAAAGTCTGACCAATTACAATGTACAGACTGTGAACTATTTATGTATACTTTTTTATTTAGTCTTGACGACGACTACGCGTAGTAGTGTGTACTAGGATTCATCATGAAGTTTCCTGACTAACGGCCCTAGTTATAAGCAGCTCTAACAGGTTGGAATTGCCGAGACAGATATTTTCTCCACTAGTAAATTAGTTGTCAAAGCAACTGATTCCACCTGCTGGTATGCAGATCCAGACCTGCAGTCTGCTAGTGCTTCTGGTACAAAGGAGCAGCTCGGGAGAGGCTGGGGCACAGGCTGTGTCCCTCACCCTGAGCCCGTCAGGCTCCTCAGCACCCTCTCTCAGCAGGGCGCACCACTGACATGGGCCCAGCTGACCCTACCAGCGACTGCTCAGTGAGGACTTGAGAATCTTTTAGGGGAAATTCTCAAAGTATTTTCCTTCTGTTAGAATATATAGAGTACGTGAAACCTTTGCCCAATATGATCAGTTCTTTCTCTTTGAAGATATTGATAAGAATGTTCACAGTTAAGTGACATTATACTAATCGGTAATGAAAACACTAACAAAGACCATATATCTGAGATTAAAATCCACAAATCATTTTGCCAAGCCCTGGGGTAAGCATATTTTCAATGACCTAGACTGCATATAAAATCCCCTATTAAAATAATATGCTATTAAAATGAAGCTTATTTTTAAAAAGTCAGTGCACCCTATCATTCAAAAGGCACATATATTTTTGATTTCATGATTTTTTGTAAAGACATGCAAAGTATTGAAGGACATACGCTACTTATTTGTAGACTCTAAAGGCCACTGTTACAAAACTATATGGACAGTCTAAATCAAATACATCTTGATATGACATATTGTAAGTTTAGATACTTTGTTACCACTCAAGTTTACTATTAATTAAAAGTGACAGTGTTCCTTTAAATTCTCTAGAGACCATTTAATCCATTTCCACTGCTATCAGAAACACTGGTTGGAAAAAAAAATCAATACCCATTTGTGAATCTTGAGTATGTATTAAACAAGACACGTCTAACCAGTTCATTTGCACTTGAAAGCAGCCATCTGTAGAAGCCAGCTTTGCCTAAGCAGATATGATTGCTAATAATGTGATATCCCTGTAGACTACAAAGCCCACACAGAGCTATTCAGTATATAGTTCACAGCACTGGCATTAAATTAGTTATGCTGCACTGATGTTAGAAATACATATACACACACACATATACACTAAATCTTACTCTCAAACCTCAAACCTACTTGATAATATACAAGTAAACATTTGTCAAAAAAAAGGAGCACCATGCAGTTCATGAATGTTTCATTTTACTTGGAGTTCAAATTTTGGAATACTAGTTTGGGAAGCTAAAACCACAAAAAAAATTTAACGGTAGTCTAGGTTGAAAAGCCAGAGACCAGTCTTTTCCAATTTACAGTATAGAAGCTTCCAGTTAGTATTAATTATTCTTACAAGCAGGAAATAATATTTTACTATTTATTATAAGGTTTCTCTGAATCATTAAAAAATTATTCATAATTCCTATATCTGTCAGGTTTATTACCACATAGAATCTACTAAGAATTGGTAAAACAGGTTTATCATGCAAGAAGCATCTGCTCTCTGAATTCTGGTAATATTTTCTATTATCATTTTTATCTTCTTTATGAAAAAATATATATGCCAACATGATGTAGCATGTTGACAAATAATCTATTTTTTCTCATATCTCATTAGTATTCTTAACAAAGTTTAGTCTCAGTATTTATATCTCCATCGATATCAATACAGATGATACAACTGAAAAATGAACAAATCTGCTGTAAACTGTAACTTCTGCTCATTTAAAAACACAAAATGCCTCTCATTCAATATCAAACCATTTATACTGAAATTTTTTCCCCTCCTCTTCCTAGTATTCCAACAGTTCTATTACAGTCCTACTATATCATCTCTTAAAGGATGCCAGTGAGACTAGACTAACTTAAAATAAATAAACTTTTTTTGTATCTTTTTCAAAATACGACATAGTAACACAGAAGCGAGTCCTCTTTAAATCCCGTAATACTTTCTATGGTAGTCTTCAAAAAATGAAACGAAAGATAAAGAAGCCTTCCTAGAATGTCAGTTTAATCGGCTGACCTATCTATCCATTAGAGATTACTAGATTCTCTAAGTAAAACTGAATAAGCCAAACAAAATAAATTTTGCGACACAATTTACAATTGAAAAAAGCATTTCCTACTATGTGTAACACTGTCTCACTGTGTGTGTCTGCAAGTCAAATCACAGCAATTAGCTGAAATAAAGCACAATTTTGGACCTGCCCTCTAGTGTTGAGAAAGCAAATCAAATGCCCAAAGATCTTTAAACAAAAAAGTAAAAAGCACGAAGTTTCAGTGAGAATAGGTTCTCTTTAATAAGTTTCTATGTCTTTCCTTGAATTACTCATATGCAATACCACTTCTATTTCAGATATTCAGATTTAATAAATGTAATTTTTCATTGGTCACCAGTGAACATGATCTTTGAAATTATTTATAATTATGTAAACCTAGCTTATTTTATTTTCAGTTACAGAAAAAAAACCCATGAAACTGACAACAAATTAAATGTTTTTAAAATGACATAAATGCATATAAACATCTATAACTCTTCAATCAGTGGACATTAAACATTCATAATCTTACTTCACTTTAGACAGTATGGTTTAAAAGACAATTATTACTCTTTTTTTAACATGAATAGCTTCATATTCATAGGAAGTTCTGAAATCTGAAAATAAAAAATACCTTACCTTGACTGCATTTTCAGAACCCTCCTCTTTAAAATCTTCATATTTCATTACTTCAGCCATAATGAATCCCTTTTCAAAATCTGTGTGAATCTTCCCTGCAGCTTGGGGAGCCTTCGTCCCTTTCTTTGAAAAGAAAGACCAGAGAAAACTAATTGCATTTAAGTTGATTGATTGTGAACAGAGTTTCTTTCCTCTGATCTGCAGTTGGGCCCAACTTCAACTTGGTCCCATACCAGTTAAGATGTCAGGTACACAATTAGTGCATTTTCAACCCCGGGCGCTATCTGTGTAGCAAGTTTGGCACAGATAGATCAGTAGCTGTTAAAGAAGCATAGCTTTGTTTTTCCTAACAGTCATCCACAGCTTTATTGATTTAGATGCAGTGGTCTGGTTTTGGTGTAGGTTTCATTTCGATTTTCTATTCTTTGCAGTGGAAAAAAAAATAAAGATTTTTAAGTAACTTTCAAGTTGAATTATCAAAGGTTTTAAAAAGATAAAAAGCCCTCAAAATTTCAGCTCATCTAAAGAACATATAAAAATCAATAATATAAGGAGACATTTTAGAGGCATTTCCAACAAATCGCACAATCTATGCTCAGCAAATAATTTTTAAATTCCCAGAAAATTTTAATAATAAAATTTTTTTTAACATTTTGCATAAGACACCCTGCCTCTAACCACCCAAGACACAAATGCAAGTTGGAGAGAAGAAGAGAAATGTCTTATAATTACCACATATGTTAAATTACAAGGACATACATTTCAGACACACACAACCATGGAAAGAAATTTGAGAAATAATGGTGACCTAAAGGCTGCTTAATAAAGCATGTTAAAGTGATAAGGAGTCTGACACTATAAAGCACAGTTTTTACAATAAAAGATGTATTGGATTAATATGGCTACTCACTGATGCTTACCTGACTAAATATCTTAGCACATTAAATCACAGATACTTACAATCGGTCTTAAGATAAACCAGCTTTCACATTTTCAAGCCCAGAGCATGCTAGCGTTTCTGCCTCACATACTGAAGTTTGGAAGTTTGAAGGCGTTAAAATACATCTTTAATACATATAGCAAAAATAAACCCCAGAAATTTATTTACTAACTTCGATTTGCTTTGACATTATTTTCTAAGTCTATATAAAAGGACTTTGGTTAGAAGTCAATCAAACATTTTTTTACAAAGGGGAGAGAAGATGAGAGTGAATCTCACAGTCACAGGAGGCATTTAACATTTCGCTGCATTGCCTCCATATTTCTATCCATATCACATCAACATAACTGTAACAATACATCACAGTAGTCAGCGAAAACAAAAACTGAATCGGCACGAAAATTTACAATGTAGATATATTTAAAGAGCATAATAAAAGACTGAATAAGACACAGTATTTCTGAAAGTTCTGGCATTATTTTTATATTCTGTAACACACTATTTAGGAGTACATATATTTCAAAATATTTTTCAATAGTAATTACTATATTACAATATATTTACATTGAAAAGCAAACATTAGAGTTCAGGTTCTATTGTCCTCTGGGAATAAATTAGTCATTCTCTCTGGTTGTGTTTAGTATACATCACTATTTAAAATACACATCACATTTTTAAAGAAGGAAGATTGAACATATAACACTAAAAATAAACATTACTTCTATGAATTCAAATTAAAAAAAGGCATGAATTATTACACATTTGAGTTTAGCTTTTTGAGCCCAACTGTGTATCTATGAAGAGCATAATGATGTCATATTGCTTTTATTGCTGAAAATGTAATCCGAGCAAAGCAAAGGAGGAAAGAACCACCCGCAACCCAAACAAACTTAGCGAATACAAAATGAAAAGCAACATCAATTTCACTGCAGACAAACCCAGTCACACAGATTAAGCAAGCACAATACTGGTGCGTCTTATCTCTGACCACAGGAGGAGGGTAGACAGATTCTACAGGATGAAGAAATTCAGACTATGTAATAGGCAGAATCAATTGTTACCTGCCTCAATCAATGCCGCTCCACTTTCACTGTTCAGCAGCTCACAAATAATTAAAGTTATCCTGGACAAAAACCTCATCTGTAATGACTAGCTAACCGCCACCATGACAAACTTCAAAGTCAGTGATATCAATCTGAATTCAATAGTGTGGAACTGGATATAGCTGATGAATAAGTATGAATCTTACCCTGATGGTCCATGCACGCACTTCATCTGGGCCTGCAGTGAAAAAGTATTCTAGTTGGAGTGCTGCAAACCCAGCCTTAATGATCTTTGGCAAAGCACTGAAATAAAATGAAACAAATTCACTCAACACATAAGTTGATTGTGCCAGCGAACAGTACAGAACTAAACTTAGTCATTTCGAGCAGAAAATGTTAATGATATTAGTAAATGACCATTTAGCTTTCATAATACACTTAAAGAGGGCAGAAAGCAAGTAACTATCTCTAAAAACATCCCTCCTGGCATTGATTTTAATTGTATTAGCCTGCAGATATAATTTTGAGTTGTTTACTATAAAAAAAGGAAAAATCAGATCTACCCACCCTATGACTATTTTCACCCAATATTAATTATTTCCAGGACCTGGACCACAAAAGCAAAAATTACTTGATTGAAACCCAACATTTAAACAACATATTACTGTTACTCAGAAAAAATTATGGCAACTGATTCACCCTTTTCCCCTCCCCCACTGAACATGACGAAAGAGTTTTGGCGATCATGCCTCCTCAAAAATATACATAACTAATACCTATGTTATAATTAAAACACTGTACGGAGATGACAGATGACAGTTAAAAACTTAATTTAAAATAAATCTTTTCACTCTGTCTCATGGTAAAGAAAGGAGAAGATTCCCTCTTTATAATGGTAATTACTCTGTCATTTATTATTCTATCAGCGCAAGCAATTAAATTACTGCAAGGA